CTCCGAAACACAGTTAATTAAAAACTTCTCTTTTAAGATACGTCTTTTTATTTTGCGAAGATCTCCATCCATCAAAAAATGAATTATTGTTTTGAATTTGATGTTGAGCCCATTGATAAAATGTAATTCGCTTCACAAAATCTATTCCATATAATTTTTGATGATATGGTATGGATGGAATTTCTGACGATATAAAACGCTCCTTTGACTAACACCAGATTCTTCTTCAATTTATTGTGAATTAATTTGAGGATTTCGAGTCATCATTGTGAGAATATTAATTTCATTTCCTTTGTATATTACTTCCTTTTCATGTTCACTTTTTTGGATATGTAAGTTAGCAGTTTGTCTAAGTTTATTGCACGGATTTTTAAATGTTTGACGCGAAGGCTGAATGCGATCAGAATACCGTTCAGCGTGCAAAGTTTTCGCTGGCACAGAATTTTGTTGACATTCTCCATAAATGAGAATCATATCAATGTATTCTTTAAACGGATACATCTTGCATGACGGATTCCTCTATCGATACTAATTTATTTATGTTCATATTTATGATATCCTGTGAATATATTAAAATATTCTTTAAAATGTTTGTTTTCTTTCCTTGAAATATCTACCTTCATTGAGATAGTATCATTTCAATAGAAAATAAATACTGTTGAAAGATATCTTAGCATTTCTCATATTAGCAAGTTCTCAGGACAAACTAATAAAATAAAATAAAAATAAAATGAAAATCAGTCAATCGTGCACATTGTATCGTACTTTTTTATTGTTTTTTTTTTTTAATTTTGTTCAATGATCTTGTGTTATATGTTTTGAACTTGTTTTGAGCCTTATCATATGATGGGAACAAAATATATCGATTTCATTAAAAAAAAATGAAGGTGACTTTGATATCTTTGAAATGCTTCCACCTGAACAAAAGTCATTATCGCTATATTATAGCCCTATTTGTACTATACTATTTAGTTTTAAATAAATATAGTATAAATTTTCCTTTGGACTACATGGATTAAAAAATATTTAAAGTGGTAATAGTTATTGTTATCTCACCCTGAATATAGGGTGTCCGAAACTTTTCTTGACACAATTCGTAGAAAAGTAAAACGAATTAAACGGAACAGAAAAATCAAATACTATTTTGCGAAATTCGCAATAGTTTTCAAGTAATTAATTATTTTGTCTGAGAAAATAAACGCTCGGGAAGTGACAGCCGAAAGAAAAGATGTCTTCAGCTGGCGCGCGATCGTGATACACGCGAATCGCGGCTCGCTGCGTCCCTTCGTCCATAGCTACAAGATACAGGCTTGATACACTAACAAATGTTCATGATATATCCGTGTGCCAATTCGGCGTCAATTTAGCACATGGATATATCATGTACATGTGTTAGTGTATCAAACCTCGCTGTATCTCGTAGTTTTGGGCGGAGGGACGCAATAAGCCGCGATTCGCATTTATCACGGTCGGACGAAGACATCTTTCTTTCGGCTGCCGCGTCCCGAGCGCTCATTTTCTCAGACAAAATAATTAATTACTCCAAAACTATTGCAAATTTCGCAAAATAATATTTGACTTTTCTATCCTGTTTAATCTATTCTACTTTCTTACAAATTGTGTCAAGAAAAATTTTGGACATCCTGTATATGAAAACCTGTCGAACTAATAATTGAATAAAGAGTCTTCTTATGTTTTAATATAATTATAAATAAGGTTACACGTAGAATATAACATGACTTTTCTTAACTTGATAATAAACTTATAATATCATAACGCAATAGATACATTTTCAAATAGGAACAAAGGATAAATTCTTAAAAATATTTTTTTTTTTCAAAAAATGAGTAGAAATAATTAAATAAAGATATTTTTACTATAAAATTTTTGTATGAAATATTTTTTAATGCTTCATTTAGTTTACGGAATATATTGAAAAAATCGAAAGCCTCTGTATCTTTAAAAAGTAGTTTCACCCTTTCAAAGCATCTTTTAGTATCAACTAAAATTTTATAAATTATTGACCTTATTTAACCTACATTTATATACCAAGTTTTATAAAAATCAGAATTTTAACACGATAAATGTCTTACATAGGAAATACAAAGAGTGAATTTTTAAAAATCTTTTTTCTTCCGAAAAGTAAATAACACAGTTAAATAGACAAAATTTTTCTATAAAACTTTTGTATAAAACATTTTTTGATATTTCATTTAGTTTACGAAATATATTGAAAACATTGGAAATTTCTATATCTTTGAAGAGTAGTTTTAAACCGGTTTTTAGCACCAACTGAAATTATCTGAATTCATTTACTTATCTAACCTACATTTGTGCAAAGTTTGATTAAAATCTGAATTTTCGGGTTCGCGAAGTACCCTTGTTAGTAAAAATATTTAGTATTACGAAATATGGCCGATTTAAAAACAAAACTTCTTGCGAACTAAATTTCACAAAAGAACAATTAAAAATAAAATTCTTTACTGAATTTTAAATAAATTTTACTTTGGATTATTTTAATTTAAATTTTAATTTGAGGCACAACTATGAACATGAAAGTATTATACAGGGTGTCCCATTTTAAGAGTGCACCCCAAATAACTTCCTTATTTTTTATTTTAGAGAAAAATGTTTCAGACAAAAGTTGTATAGGTATTGTATAGGTATTGTAAGTTGTATTGTTTCGAGGGGGTTACAAGGTGGTACCATTGGTTTGACCTTGGATATGATTTCAAAATTACATGAAGGTCACCTTCAATTTCTGAAATGGAACATATCATTTTTCATTACATATTATTGTAGCTTATTTCGAAAGCTTTCCAAAACACTATAATAAAATATTTTTCTATTGCGTATTTTTCGAGTTATAAAGCTTTAAATTTCCAGTATTTTGATAAAAATACAAATTCGCTTGCCTGTAGTCTTATCTTACATGATCCAGTCAAGCTAGTCAAGATAATCTGAGCATGATCCAGTCATTCAAGGCAAGATTCAGATATGACCCAGCTAGTCAAGGCAAGATTCGGACATAATCCAGCCAGTCAAGGCAAGATTTGGACATGATCCAGCTAGTCAAGGCAAGATATGAGCATAATCCAGCCAGTCAAGGCAAGATTTGGACATGATCCAACCAATCAAGGCAAGATTTGTACATGATCTAGCCAGTCAAGGCAAGATATGAGCATGATCTAGCCAATCAAAGCAAGGTTTGGACATGATCCAGCCAATCAAGGCAAGATTTGGATATGATCCAGCCAGTCAAGGCAAGATGAGTTTTTGTACAATTACTTTAGGTGTTCGAAAACTTGGTCATTTACTTGTATGCATAACACTAGTCTATGCTGAAAATCGTCCCTAACTTTTTGAAGAACATCTGCATTAATATTTCTGCAAGCTTCTCTGATCCGGTTTTTCATACATATTTTCAACGGTTGTTGGCTTTTTCGAATACACTTTATCTTTAATGTAGCCTCAGAAAAAAGTCTAGAGGCGTCAAGTCGGGTGATTTTGGGGACCATTCTTGAATTTGGCTATCCAGATCACCTATTCGGGGATCTTACGTTTAAATATTGTGTAATGGCTCGAGATCTATGAGCTGGCGCTCCATCTTGTTGAAATCACATTTGTCTGAGTACATCGTTGTCGACATGTTTTAAGAGGTTGGGCAGATTATGTTGAAGAAATGTTAGATAGTTTGCCGCATTGAGGTTTTCTTAAAAAAAATATGGACCAACAATAACATCTCCCAGAATGCCTGCCCAAACATTAATAGACCACTACCTTTGGAACTCTTGGCTTCTCTGCCAATATGGATTAACATCTGAATAATAATAACAGTTATGTCTATTAACGCCTCCTCTGTTACAAAACGTGGCTCCATAAAAAAAAGCATATGAACAACGAACCGGGAACTTTGTTGGATTTGATCTCGAGCCCAGTTACAGAAATGGACTCGGCGTTGGAAGTCCCTCTCTTCCAATTGCTGAGTTAGATGAATGTGATATAGATGAAACTTGTTGACTTTGAGCACACGATTGGCTGTTGATTTAGGTTATGTCTATTGTCTCTCAATTTGTCTCGTAGAGATTTGAGAATTCAAAACAACGGCACCTATAACAATCAATGATATTATCTCATCAGGATTCAATTTTCGCCGGTTTCTTCTTAAAAACCCTGCTCAGTTCTGTCGCAAAGTTTTTTTATTACTCTCCTATCAGGATGATGTCTGTCTGGAAATCTTTCAGCGTAAAGCCTTTCTGCTGCCGAGTAATTATTTCTGGCCTCACCCAAAATGCGGATCATGTCCACAATTTCATTTAGTAGATAAGCAGCCATAATTTTGTAAAGAAAAAAAGGCTTAGCAAAAATCTCGAAAGTTTCTGTTTTATCAAGAAAAAGTTAATGGTTGTAATACACATGTGTCTGCCTGCACTGAAAGTGCAATTATTAATTCTTTCGATTCGAAAGTTAGTCAGTGCAGGATCATGCTCATATCTTGCCTTGACTGGCTGGATTATGTCCGAATCTTGCCTTGATTGGCTGGGTTATATCCGAATCTTGCCTTGAATGACTGTATCATGCTTAGATTATCTTGTCTTGAGTGGCTGGATCATGTAAGATAAGATTACAGGAAAGCGAATTTGTATTTTTATCAAAATACTGCAAATTTAGAGCTTTTTAACTCAAAAAGTATGCAATAAAAAATATTTTATTATAGTGTTTTGGATAGCTCTCGAGATAAGCTACAAGAATATGTAATGAACAATGGTATGTTCTATTTAAGAAATTGAAGGTGACCTTCACATAATTTTCAAATAACTATCCAAGGTCAAACCAATGGTACCACTTTATGACTCCCTCGAAACCATACAACTTTTATCTGAAACATTTTTCTCTAAAATAAAAAATAAGGAAGTTATTTGGCGTGTACTCTTAAAATGGGACACCCTGTATAATATAAAAGTTAATTAAACAATAAAAGATAATATGTAATTTTGCAGGTACAACAGGGCTCAAGTGGACCACCATCGTCCGGTCTACAGGGAGTTGGCGTGTCAGTCAATCAGCAGGGCATGTTCATGACTCAGGGTGGCGTGGGTGTAAGCGGTAGCAGGGGAGCCGCCGGATTTCCGGTTGCAGGTGTTGGAAGTAGCGCTCTTCAGGGACCACTGGCCTTTTTAGAAAAGACCACGAGCAACATAGGAATGCCGGAAAGGCGGAGTTGACGCGGAAGGGGAAGGGGTCGGGGCCGGGGTCGTGGTAGAGGCCGAGGTAGAGGAAGAGGCGGCGGTGGTAGTCTACCGCCACCGCCACCGCTTCTCGATCCCTCAGACCCAACGTCCTATGCTGCTGCCGCTGCAGTTGCAGCCGCCGCGGCGGCGCCCCTTCCCTCTCCACAGCAACAACCTCCGCCTTGCACATGAATGTGTAATATATGTGACGTTTCCATTTGTTATTTGGAGGAAAAAAGAGATAGACATATACTCGGTAGCTTCAAAGTCCAGTGCTCCTGTTATGGAGCTTATGTTTGGATTATCACAAACTTGAATCTGCATCAGTTAGTAGTGATAGTGGTTGGTGATGGTGATGGTGATCATGGTGGCGATTATCGGATTACATGGTGATAAGCGTCTTCTCGATTGCGTTATGAAGACGAGTACGATTAATATGTACAAATTTAAGTGTCGTTGGTCGTCATGAGCTCGTCTCATCTTAACGATGAGCACAGCATTTTTAGCAATGCCAGTTTTTACTAATCTGGTTTCAAATTGATGTTACGAACATTGTTTCGCATTTTTTGAGGAATGACTTTTACGTATATAAACGTTATTTTATATTTTTCACTAGTCCCGAAAATTTTGCGGCGCGGGCAAGTTTATGCGAAATGCGTAAAATTGCACAACGTAGGGTAAATAAAATTAAATAATTTTAATAGGTATACAATTTGTGATTACAAACTCGAAATGACGAATTGTACATAACGATATTGTTTAACTCTTTATAGGGCAAGACTCCTTAGATATGACAAATGAATTTTTTCTTTTCAACTTTATTAAAATAGTCCTTAGAGATATTTTAATATCATTTTTGAGACTGAAAAAATTTTTTATAAGAGATCAATCTCTTATAAAAGTATAACTGAAAGTATAACTGTTGTACCAGTGCACAGTGGGCCGGATGACCCGAAATCGTGGCCAAAAACCAAGTATGAAATTAAAATAAAAGAAACTGTTTATCGTTTTGTAGACACTTCAGAGTATTTAAAAATCTATTCTTACATGTATATTCATCAATTAAGATCATTATACCGTATTTTGAATTTAGGAAACTACACAAAATTAGTAAGAGGAAGTATAATGCATTAACTAATGTATTTTTGAATAATTTCATAATATATAGTTTTTGTTGATATTTTTGCATTAATAAATGTTGAAACATTACTAAATAAATGAAATAGTTATAAATAAATATGTAGATTTCATATATCTGGTATAATTTATTCACATATGAATTGATATTTTGCATGTGTGCGCGTTATCAATTCTCTCCACATCTAAACTTTACACCGAAATGAGAAAAATGAGATACCATTTTATTCGTTAAAATGTGTACTTTAAGCTTGATCTGCTCACTTCTGTTCGTTTTCATCTTTTCCAAAAATATCGTCCTTAAAGCGCATTCTTGCGACTTTCCGTCACTTCTACTTGCATGAAGATATTCACTGCACTCATTCATTCAAGAACATATATGGAGGGAATTAGAAAATTTTAACTATTATTGTTAAAGATTCACTTTTGAACACGACCCAACATCATTGCGACCTCATTGTCACCTCATTTTTATCACTTTAGTGTGAAGTTTAGGCGCGGAGAGAATCGATAACGCACGTACATGAAAAATATCAATTTATGGATGAATAAATTATACCAGATATATTAAATCTACATATTTCTTTATAGCTAATTCATTTATTTACTAATGTTTCAACATTTATTAACCATTTCGCTAGCATTGACACACTTTTGCGTCAAATAAAGGATGTACCAAAAATTACATTAACGCACTAATGCGCATATCATTTTATTTTTTCCCGTTAGCAAGATTTTCATCAAACTCAATATCCAGGGGTTTTTGAGGTCGCTGATTCCGAATATGAACTCGAAATTTGAAAAGTTAAAATGGCGGATTTAATATGGCGAACCAAAATGCGGAAAGTGACTTGATTTTAATATAACCTAGTATTCGGGAATTTTTGGGATCGCTACTCTTGAATCTGAGATTTATTAAATTCAAGGTGGCAGATCCAATATGGCGGATTAAATGGAAAAGTGACTTGATTTGGATGAAACTCGGTACTCGGAGGTTTTTAAGGTCATTGATTTCGCATCTGAGATTAGTTTTGTCAATTTGAACTTTCAAATTTTGATCTCAAATTTGTATTTAGCGACTCGAAAAGTACTTTAGTACTTTTTATAAAAATCAAGCAACATTTTGATGTTACCATTTTTGGGTAAGTTGATACTGATTTTCTCTGCCAGCGAAGTGGTTAATGCAAAAATGCCAACAAAAACTGTATATTAAAATTGTTTCTTAAATACTTTATTTTAAATGCAACTATTTGAAATATACCCTGAACTGTCTATATGCAAGGCTGCGTACAGAACAAAGTCCACCGCATTCCTTGTGTGTTGGGTTGTCTTAGGCTTTTACGCGACATATTAGCCTTAGGAAGGTAAAGATTATAGGAAGTCCTGCCATAACAGAAAAAGTAGTGAAATAATCTTGAAGATTTATTCTATAGATCAATGGATTCTATTGATCCCATTGTATGTACGATGAGTACAAAGTCTCTAAGGGTCATCTTTTCTCGGGAATTATCCTCATTCCGGTCTAGATGAGGACCTCGGGTCTGCAAATCGCACTGCATTCTCCATACGGAAGACCCTGGAAATTATCGTAGCCAAATCACAGGCATTTTAATGCAATAATAAATTAATTATTTTTAATATAACTACGATTATAACTATGAATTTCTAAATTTAGATATCATATTTGTAATTAGCGATCTCAAAACCCCCCGAGTAAATCTTTATAGCCGAATCCGTCGTATCTCACTTTTCGCCGCCATATTGAATCCACCATTTTGAATGTTGTAATTTTGATCACAAATTCGTAATTAGTGACCTCAAAAACACCACGAAAACTCCCGCGTCAAACTTTATAGTCCAATCATTTAATGAATTTTCGAATTTTGGCCACGATATCGGGTTACCTGGCCCACTGTGCAGTGACCATTCAGGGAAAGCGTTTAGAACCACTCCCGATTTTTTCGGTTAATTCTATGCTGTTGGTACGACTTATGTACCAGTGCCCTATAAAAAGTTAAAGCAAGCATCGTAATACGTTTAATTGTACATAGAGGTAAGGGTGTCACTTTTTATTTCTTTATGTCATGTCTGTGTTTATTAAACATCAATATCCTTAATCACGTTTATATTTTAAACTATATTGCATTTGCAATGCTTTTGAATATCTATTAAATGTACTGTTCGAGCGATAACAATAAAATATATATTGTCATAACTATGCAAAATCAAAACATACATTACAATATGCTGATTCATATATGTGCTTGATTAATTTATATCCATGTTCTACAGAATTTCAGAAAAAAAGATAAAGAAAAGCATTAGAGAAGCACTAGAATAGCATTAGACTATCAATAAATGCATGTGGCATTTTTTTACCGCATTTTCTTTTAAAAATTTATTTACAAATATTCCACATTTTTTAACAAAATTAGCATTAAATACTTTAAAATTAGTATATTAATTTAGAATAACTTGCTCTTATGCCTTACCCATGGACGTAGTATACATGGACCCCGCATACGGCCAGAAAAGTGAACCCAACATGTAGAAAGAGACCACAGACAGATAATATACATAGACTCCACATACAGTCAGAAAAAAGAAGCTAATACGTACAGCCCTTATGTTCTCTGTCTCTTTCTGCACAGACAAAGTATGCAATAAGATTTAAGTAAGACGTTTACTTGCCAGTCTAGGGGTGCTATTGCGCTCTATAATATTATGGGAACGAGAAATGGATGCACGTTCGAAAAAAATGACAAAATAGGAAGAAAACTATAGCCCCTCTATTCTTGATCACTTTCTAGATGTTGGCTTCACTCTATTAGATGACAGAACATAGGGCATTCGGAGTCCATGTATATTATGTCCATAGTCTTGCTTCGGCAGGACAAGACGTAGGAGCGCAGCGATATAAGTATAGACAGTGGTGCGTTGTCTTCCAATCGCCATGCGCGACATTCGCGCACTATATTACTGGGCTACGCTGTAACTCGAGCGGTCAATCCTCCACCATTCAGCACACGCTTTTCCTTAATCTTTCGTAATTAATTTCTCGATTATTATTACGAATGTCGCAAAACGGTATAGGACTTTTATATTTATTTTAACCCGCTCTACGTTCTCACGAGAGCTTCGATAGATTGCTCTGAGACATCCTGTATATATAAGGGTTGAACAATCTCTCGAAAATAACAAACTTACTCACCATGGACCTTCTGATTGATGACATTTCAGTAGTAAAAAAAACATACTTAAAATTTGTTTCAGACAATATTATGACGTCTAAAAGATTTAAGTTTCTAAGACATTTTAGAAAATTGTTAGAAAGATAATTTTATATTCCACTCAATATATGAGTAGGGGACATTCGTCGTAGAATCATTAGATTTTTTTGTCGTTTTGAAGTCGGGTAGTGTTCGACTTCTTGCGGCAGCTACATGCGACAAAATGGTTAGTAGACAACCCAGATAGCACAAAGATGAACAGAAGTTCCTAGAGAATTCATTTTAAAGAATAGATATAGAAATAGAAAAATGAATACCCGAAAAATTCTTGAAGAATTAACCACAGTAAGTTCGTCTTGAAATATTCTTTAGGACAGATAGCACAAAGATGAACAGAAGTTCCTAGAGAATTCATTTTAAAGAATAGATATAGAAATAGAAAAATGAATACCCGAAAAATTCTTGAAGAATTAACCACAGTAAGTTCGTCTTGAAATATTCTTTAGGACTTCATTATAGCGAATACTTCGCAACTTAATTCCTAGAACACTTTGAAAATTCGTGAGGAATTAAGACTAAAGCAGAGAATGAGACATAAGCGTCGTAATCGTAGATGTAAAGTAAGACAAAAAATGTAAACGTAAAGCTAATAGCCTCTCATGACTTACGTTTACGTTTTTCTCTGCCTTATTTTAGTCTACGTCTACGACTACGACGCTTACGTCTCGTTCATCTGCCTTAGCCCTTACAAATATTTTGTTTATTTACTACTTTTTGCACCTATATTCAGTACATGCCAGTGAGTGTATAATAATTAATTTACATATATTAATTTATTGTTATTCACAGTTATTTATATTTTGTGGAATTAATTATATAGTTTTATATAATAGGGCAAAGAAAGGGAATTGATATTAAAATAACTTTTCATATATAAAATTTTTATTTGTATTAATAATAAATAGATTTATACGAAGTATATTTTATCCTTAAGTTTGTATTCATGTTACTAAAATCCATATAT